GAGCGCTCCGCCCCGCCCCAGCGGCCGCGGCACCTTCCCGGGTTTGGGAGTTTCTCTTTTCCTTAAAAAGAACTTGGCGCCAGCCGGTACGGCGCGGGAGAGCCGGCGGGACTCGTGCAGGGAGTGCTGTGCCGCGCTCTCCCTCCGCTGCGGAATAGTGGGGCTTTTTTTTTTTTTTTTTTTTTTGCATAATTCATAGTCAGCAGGTCCTCAGGAAATTCTACCATTGATGGACATTTTCTCCCATGCATTATAAAGTAAAAAGTCCATACCTTTTGCATAATTCATTCTCTGCCCTCTCCTCTGGTCCCGCTCCTGCACCCCCCGCCCCCCTTTCCCCTTTCCGCTCCAGAGCCAAACACTACTTACCTCTGAGTTCTCTCTGCAGGTTCCTAGAACGGGTGCAACTCTCGCCTGCAAGTCCCTCACCTCCCTCCTCCCGAAAGGGGGAAAAGCCGTTTTTCCAAGTCCGGGTACCAGCAGTGGCCGCTGCCAACTGCGCCTCTGCCCGGCTCCGAGAGAGTCTGAGACTACGGGAAACCGGGCTTTGGGGGGAACAGACGGCTCTTCTTCGCTTTCTCTTATTCTGCTTTTCTTTCGAGAAGCTCGGGCACTTCGGAGGCTTTTGCTGGGCTCCAGAACACTCTCTGCCCGCGACTCTCCGCCGCTGCCACTGAACGAGCTTTCCCAGTGAAGCCGCGCGCGCGCACTCGCCCAGCGCCGCGCTCTCCCAGGCCCCAGGGGAAGGTGGGGGCGGCGTGCGCACCACCCTCCCGCCTGGCCCAGGCCGCAGCCCGCCGCCCGCCCTGCGCAGGTCTCGCGGCGGCGGGGCTCCGACTCGCACCTGGGCAGCCGCTGGGAGCGTGGGCTCCGGCGTGTCAGGAGGAAACCGTGCGCCCGGGACTGTGCACTGAGAGGCTGAGAGGGAGGGAGAGGAGGGGAAATCGCCGCCGAGGTGCGTTGACTCCCGCTGCAGCAGCAGTTTGACAACACCCCCTGACCTACCTCTTTGAGGGTGCAGAAGAAGAGGAGACAGGGTAAGGGAATCCCTGGGATGAGCTGGGCTTTCTCGGCGCGCTTTGTCCGAATTGCAAACTGTGACGTTTGGAGAGATTGCACCGGCGCGGATGGACACACAACAAACACACAGAACCCGTAGGGGATTTTTTTTTTTTTTTGTACTTTTTAATTTTTGATGTTTAGGAGCCATTTCGGTGTGAGTCTCGCTCTAGTAACCGCATGGAGGGTGGGTAAGTGGAAGGGCTAGAGTGTGCCATTTATCCGCACAGAGTCATTTTAGTGAGTCTTCGGGCTGAGTGGCTTCCGAGGGTGCGGGGTTACACTGCAGCGTTCCCTGGGTTCTTGAACTGACTCCAAATGCCCAGGAATCTGGCGAGTTTTTGCTGAGTGGCGGCGGGGGAGCGAGGGAGCAGAGCTTGAGCTTTCCGGGCTGCGCAGACGCCGAGTCCCAGCTGCGTGGTTCTGCTGCCTGCTGACTTGCCTACTTTTTCTGGAGGTGTGGTCGAAGGATCTCTTCTCTGAGCTGGACGCCAGTGGTCAGCACATCAAAAATATAGACCCAGATGAAGAAAGTGCAAATTCTTACCTAGAATGTTTCAAGGCTCAGCAGGAAAGACGTTGAGACCTCAGAACACGAAAAGAATCTGAGATAGTGAGAATTAGACCTTTTGGGAAATATGAGTCAGGACGGGGAGGTTTGTATGTTTCAGCACCTTGATATCTACGCAGAAAGGTTTTTGGAGAAAAGAAAGCAATTTGCCAACGGTAGACAGATGTCACCCTAGATGGGTTCACAGTCACGGACGGTGACAAACCTTTGGGAAACGGAATTTGCTGCCAACGGCTTTCTCTGGAAGCAGAAGCAGAGTGCCAGGATTTTTGTATCAGACCCATTTATTTCTTAACGAGTCATGCAAATATTAAGTGAGTGCCTTATATGTGTCAAGCACCGAGTTAGATGCTGGGGGTTTATAATTGCAAATTCATAATCCTTGCTTTCAAGAAGCCTACAAGCCTTACGTGTATTTTGTCTTTAAGGACTAAGGACAGTGAAATAATGCTTCCTTAAATTTTCCCTGTTCTGGATGTGCACTTGCCTTCAACCCTCTTAAGGAATACTTAACTTACTCTCTGCCACCATATGCTTTCAATTAAAAAAGGAAGAAACTAAACCATCAAACAAATAATAGTGTTTAAATGAAAATAAAATCGTGCATACATTGTTTTTTGTATGCCAGGCATTGCCAACCCTCTCACATGAACTATCTTATTTAAGTATCCTCCATCCAGAGGGAGAAAATACTATTACTTCCACTTTGCGGGTGATAAAACTGAGGCCTAGAGTTGTTATTTGCCCAGAGTCTCAGAGCTACTCATTGTATAAACCATAGCCAGGTCCTTCACACTCAGAGGTGTTGCCCCCTACCTAGCCCTCATGCCCTTAAGGTGCAAACCTCAGGTTGAAAGGTCATGCTATACTAAGGTAGACCAGCAATCCATGCATGACACAGCTGGAAGGCAGGCTGAGATATCACACTAGATTGTGCAGTTTAGCCTTTAACTACTGTAGAATTGGGAGACAGAGAAGATTGCTGCGGATTAGGAATAATCAAAGTCATTTCTAATGAAAGAATCTGAGAGCAGGCTAAGTGCCAATTCTATTCCTGGCACTTGAAATACAGCACTAAAAACAGCAGTCCCTCAACATCTATTTTCCACACTAGCATTTTCTACAAAAAAAAAGAAAATGCTTTCTTGAGTCATTTTTAAATTTAATTGATGATTTCTAAGAAAATGTCCACCCTCTGAGGGAAACCAGTAAGATTGGCATGTA